GGAGACTTTGCTTTTCCATTTAAATGAAAATGGAAACAAGAAGCTTGGCCACACCCGACGGTCGCCCTTATGGGTCACTACGGTCGCTGACAAGCCATTTTTCTTTTCCGAGGACCGCCGGCTCTTTTGTAACTTCTTTATCCCATCTTCAAACATCTATAAATTCTTTTCTCGATATTTCAATATTGATATTTCTTGGCTCGTTGTAACTTGTAAAGATGATTCATGTAGCTTTATCTCGTTCAAGATTAGAGTATCTCCAACTTCATATAAAAGCTTTTTTTACACTTTTGATTGTGATCCGTGATTATTTTTGTCTAAGATTTGACTCTCATTTTATTTGTGAAAATTATACCTTTACTTACTTTGTATTCACTAGAAAAAGAATCCAAAACTCTTGTCTGTCTTCTTATAATTTGATCGTTAAAGTGTTTTATAAGACATAACACTGCTGCACATATATATGATCTTGCATGATCAGATTTGTTACCTACTGTTCGAACCTGATTTCAGTTTTTTTTTTCTTTTCGGTAACATTTATTATATGCTTTGCTTTTTAGATTTTCTTAGTCAATATCGATTACTTAGGAAAACAAATTCAGAAAATTGTGAAATGTGGTTTTAAGTTGTCACGTTTCTTCAATAAATTCCGGCAATATTTGTTTCACGTCAAAATATATAAACTGTTCAAACAATAACATTTCAGAGTACTGAGAGATTATGGCGGTTGGTACTAATGTGGCAATAGTAAATAAGAACACATTCATCTGTCTCACTCAAATTTGAGCAAATTAATTGTCATGAAGGACGATATATATATATAAAAAAATGAAGGACGATATATAGAAAACCCTGAAAGCAAAAATAAAAATAGTTTGGATGTTATTTACCAAAAAAGGTTTGATGTTACCTTAATCAACAAAAACTATCGCCATAGTAAGAAATAAAAGTAAACACATACTTGAGAAAATATTATGAATCAAGCAATGAGAGGTGAAACTATAGTCTCATTCCCATATAATGGATATGCTTTTCAAGACTCTCTTGTGTCTCGCAGTGGTTTTATATATTGGTGACTTATAGTGTTGGATACTTTGGATTATTTTCTTTTTTTGGGTGGGTGAAACCATCGTCGTATAATTTTTTATTGATTACG